ATAGGAAATAGACACTTGCTCTGTTGTACCTTAGTTATAAAGAGTTCTGTTCAGGGAGAGGAAAAATAAGCTTTGGCACATGGAAAATTACCCTTTTGAAAGGTTAGGAATTGCTTATATGATGGCGGTTTTTGAAAATGGTTTTTATTCTGAGTGCATGGCCTCTATAAAAAGGAGAACCTGTGTAAGTGGGACCAGAGCTACCAGGCTAAGGTCTTCTGTCCTGGCCTCTGACTCTGGTTCAAACAAAAATGAGCTTTGTGGGAGCTTACCATCTTCTCCAAGACCTGCTTCCTCTTCCCATCTCACCTCGTCTCTTGTCCTAACTGGTGACATGCCTTTTCTATTTCAAAGAGTTCTGATCATTTCTTTTCTAATTTGTTGGCATCTATCCTGGGCCATTGTGGTTGGGGAGTGGAGGGAGGGTGTTGTTAGTTTTAAAACCATGCGTCACTGTAGGGTATTTGGTACTCTTGGAGACTGACCTTCCTTTAGGTTTTCAGAGAGAAGCTTTGCAAAGCAATAATAACCCAAGGATCTCCTTTACCAAAGATTCAGATAGCAAACCTTGCACATGGTGTAAAATTTGATCATGGTATCAATTTACTTTCGTCCCTCCTTTGCAATTTCCGTCATCTTCTAGCTTGCTCATGTGTCTGACTTTTTCTTGCTGACAAGAGAAGAAACTACAAGTCCTCCAGTTCTATATCTTCTGGGGCAATTGCATTGTATGTATCTAGAATCATAGAACCTGACTGATTGAATGTATTTGTACAGTTCCTTTATTGCAAATTGCTTTATTGCATGTAGTCGTGTATTTAAATAAAAGTACTTATACCTGTTTATAAGTGTTTTACAGTTTACATAGCACGTGCACATTCACTGTTATTTGTTCTCACAATAGAAAACACAGAATGTTGGCCCTGGGGAAGACTTGAGAGTACAGTCGACTTGATTTTTGCATGCCTGAGAACAGATTTTATGTCTCTAAATATAGATGACTTCAGAAGGGCAGCACATTAATTTTTATTCAGTCATTTTAACTTTATGTGAATGAGTGTATCGGTTCCTCTCCTGAGAGCAGATTTCAATGGGGGAAGATGGAGAAGGTATGAGGACAGTGGAGGAGAAAGGATAATACAAAGGGAATGTGAATGCGCTGAGGACAGCACTTCATCTCTTGTCCCCCAGGTCCTTTCTCCAGCAGTCCTGCTGCCATTCCAATGGCTTCACCCAGTCCAAACTCACACAATTATTAACCAGGGCGCATCAGTCAATATTCCCTCAGGTTATCCCTCCAGGAATGAACATTGAGTTTCTGGTTGGCATGATCATTGATTTCTCAGCCAGAATGGCACACATCCTGAGCTCTAGGAGAGTAACCCTCTCCCTGGTTACCAAACCATTGTTCCTGTTTTCTCCTAGAGCAGTCATCATTCACAGTTGTTCAGAGAGGCCAGCGAACGGTCACTCTGTTGGTGCAGCCAGCAGAACCCAACATGGCTTCTAGGCAGGATGGTCAGAGATGCTGTGGAACAGACACAGTGAGGTTGCCACCCGCAGCTGTGCAGGCTGTGTCTTGTACAAGTGCACGAGCCCATGCATCCTTGAAATGCAGGCCATGATTTATTTGCCAAGTCATATGCTCTGTTTTTTCTAATTTGCACAGTCTTTGTCAACTTGCCAAGCCCTCTGTCTGCTGAACTCCATCCACAAGGGAAGGTGCCTTTTGCAAATCAGCAAAAATCAACTTTGTGTGCTAGGGCAGGACTGCCAGGGCTGGAGACTTGGGACATTGGGGACTTCAGGCTTTATGACCATTCACTGTTCCTCTCACACAGTGATTCCCTGAGTGATTCAGAAACTCTAGTCTAACAAAAGTGAGAATACTCATGGTTCTTTTTCTTTCTATTTCTTCCTCCCTCCCTCCCTCCCTCCTTCCCTCCCTCCATTCCTCCCTTCCTTCCTGACTTCCTTCCTTCCTTCCTTTCTTCCTCTTGCTTCCTTGTCTTTTTAGTTCTTTGATCATGGGAAACTAGTAAATATAGCAAAAGGAAGAGAACACCAAAAAAATTACACGTCTTTGTATTTATAAAATGAGCCCCAGAAAGACTTCTTACACTTATTCCTTAACTCTCACCTCTCACTCTGGCCTCACCATGAGCACCTGGCGCTTCTCCCTTTGGTGGGAGCCTGAGTCCACATTTCTGGTATCCACTTTGTTCTTTGTGCAGGCACTGCCCCAGACCTCTACACTCACCTCGTTAACAAAGGCCAAATGGGGACATATTTTCCTCCCTTTTCTCTTTCTCCCTTGTCTTTGAACTGCTTGTCTGCCAGCAGGATGACTAATTTCTTTGTCATCCTCTTACCCCTTCGGCCTATCCAGCTGCTCTCATCCCCTGTGTGCAATGAGAATGGAGCTATCGCATTGTTTTTGTGCATGTGAGACTCGTTTGCACTGGATCAGCTCAAGGCCCAGCAAGGCCAAAAGAGTCAGAGAAAGATAAGGACTGATAGAAGAGAGACAGTCTCTAACTCTCCCAAGAGCAGAAGAAAAAATATGCTTCTTTCCTCCGCATGCAGATTCTTTAGTTGCAAAAGGGTTTAACATGATGCAGTTGTTGGAGTCTTTACACCCAGCCCTGAGTCAGGCTCCTCCTCCCCACCTGGTTTCCCTCCCCCCATTTTTCCGAGTAATGCAAATATGTTAATACTTCACTTCTTACTCTGCAATTTTTCAACATCTAGAATTGTATTCCATTTCTCAGGACCCTGAGTTCTTGGAAAAAAAACAAAATCAAAACAAAACAGTAACTTGATGGGCATCCAGAGAAAAGACTAAACCAATCAATCCCCTGATCTTGGATGACTGAGTATATTGAAAGGTCTAGTTGGTTCGTCATTCAAGTCAAGTTCCTCATTCAGCTAGGGGTTTCTTTTCTCAATTCATTCGTTTTTGCTTCATTCAGAATTTCTTCATAAAATTCTGAGAGTTTCGAGGTCTCCTTATTCTCAAGGCTTGGCTAAGATAATAAATGATGGGACAAATCAATAAATATGTAAAAAATGATTAAGATGGGGAAGAAAGAGGGGGAATAGATTTAAGAAGATCTACTTTTAAAAGTGATAATAGAATAAAATTAAGAAGGGGAATTTTAGAGGAATTTGAGGAAATTTTGAGAAAGGGGAAATTTAAGGAAAGCTGAGAAAGAAAATCTAGAGCAATTTTCTGGGTTCAGAAGACTCCACCATGTGTGCTCTTGTTTTAGATGACCTCAACACCCTACTTCTTTCTTCTGAAACTGCCTGAAACCAGTGAGTAGTAGCAAGCTTCCTTCTCTGAGCAAGAAAAGAGCCCCCGAAGAGCACACCCCACCCTGCTCAGGAAGGGGGCCTTGGGCATGCCAAACCAGAACAAAGGCCCAGATCCTGAGCTTCTTTCTGTTTCCTTCACAATGGGCAAGGGCAGGTGGGGAAGGCGTGTGCTGGTTGGCAAGACTCCCTCCGAGCCTGTGGTCTGGGTTTTCTTGTTGAAATTATTGTCCAGGCCCTCCTGCACCCTCTCCTCTCCCCGCAGCTCCCGTTTCCCTCCTCTGTCTGTCATCGGCAGCCCAAGAATCATCACTGGGGCATAAGGAGTCTCCCACCACCTCCCTGCCTTTTATTTTTTATCCTTGCTCTGAAAGGAGCTTGAGGCCATGTGAGGGAACAGGCACTTCCAACAAGGGAGTTTTTAGCAAAGAAACAAAGAAGGAACCAGAGCCAGTGGCAGGCCAGGATGAAAGTCCTGGAAGCCTCTGAATGAACAGGGCCATTAGGATCTTTGGGATAAGGGGGAGGGGTGGGACTAAAAGTTGTTGTGACTGAAGGGAAATGAGTCAAGGGAAGAAATGCCTTAATTTAATTCTTATGGATAAAGGCATGAGTGGGCCTGCCAGACCACAAGATGAAGCCCCGACCAACTAACCTACTTTAAGCTGCTGAGGTCAACATCACTGGGAAAAGGCACATGGAAACTGGGAATTTTGGGTCCAAGAAGATATGAGTTTAATGACCAAAAACCAGATGGCTCTGCTCCTTTCTGCAAATCTGCACTTTATCAGGCCTGTCTATAAATAAGGAGAAACAGACATTCCAATGGAGCAGCGGGGAGGGGTTTGGGCTGGCGTGGAGGAGGCTTCCCTTTGTTGGACAAGGAGGCATGCCAGGCATAAGAGGAAGAGCTGAGGCAATTTGAGGTAGGCTGGCTCTGTGATGTACCAGCTAAAATTCCTTCAGGGGAAACCAAGCCAGGTCACTACAGTACCCAGGTTTCCAAAAAAGTGCCAGAAGATGGTCTTACCCTTCAGCCCATAGAAATCTCTGGGCAAAATCATCTTCCAGCAACCTGTGTCCATCAGTGGATGAATAGATAAACAAATTGTGATCTGCACAAGCAATGGAATATAATTTAATCTTAAAAGCAAAGGACTTTCTGACAAATGCTACAACATGGATGAACCCTGAGAACACTATGCTAAGTGAAAGATGCCAGGCACAAAAGGACAAGTAGCGTATGATTCTACTTATGTGACGTACTTAGAATAGTCAAAGTCATAGAAACAGAAAGTAAAATGGTGAATGCCAGAGAGTTCTTGTTTAATGAATACAGAGTTTGTTTGGGAAGATGAAAATTTGGAAATGGACAGCAGTGACGGCCACACAACAATGTGAATGTACTTAACGCCACTGAACTGTACACTTAAAAATGGTTAAGATGGTAAATTTTATGTTTTGTGTGTATCACCACAATAATGTGTGTGTGTGTGTGTGTGTGTGTGTGTGTGTGTGTGTGTATGTGTGTGTTTAAATCTTCCAGATACTTATTGTGGCATTTCCTGCTGTGGGACCTAAGTCTGGAGGATCCCGGCCATGATAAAGTTGAAGGCTCTTGAACTTTGTTGTACTCTGACCTCTCACATCACATGATTAAGCTTTTTTCTCCTCTTCTTCAAAAGTTTAAGGGACACTCTGAAGAAATGATGACTAAAATGAAGAGAGAGCTGTTGTGCATACTGCTGCTTTGTGGAGCCGTCTTCACTTTGCCCAGCCAGGTGGGTGTGCAATTCACGTCTGTGTGCCCCACCGCTCGAGGCTGTGGTACTCCCAGGCACCCCTCAGTGTACTCAGGAGCCACAAGATGGGGACAATGTCAGACTGGAGAGGCAAAGGGACAGAGGGCCAGTAGCGCTACCGAACACACATGTTCACGGTCTCCTTGGCACAGGATGTTCAGGATTTCAGGCCTCTGGCAGCAGAACCCTAGATACCTACTCTGACTTGAGGAAACAGTTCTTAATTCCACTTCACTGCCTCTGAATGTCTTCTTTCGGAGCTATTTTTTAAAATGTGTTTAAATTAATCCATAAAGTGAGCCATAGAAGCAGGCGAGCTGCCCGCTGCTTACTATCTAATTGGGACAATACACACACTGTCTGCAATGCCCACCAACATAGGGCATCATATGAGGCCGAATGAACAATACCCGAGCAGCAGGGTTTTAAAGGAGAGTCAGGGACGGCTACATGAAGGAGACGGGGCTGCAACTCCACTATTCACTATGGTAGCCACTAACCACTTGTGGCTATTTAAATGTAAAATTAATTCAAACTAAAAATAATTTAAAATTTAGTTCTGTCACACTAGCCGTATTTCAAACACTCAGTCACCACATGTGACTAGCGGCTACGTATTAGACAACACAGATATTAAACATTTCCATTGTTCAGAAAGTTCTTTTGAACAGCGCTAGTCTAGGAGGGGAGAAAGAATTAAATGCGAAGGCACGAAATGGACATTCTCCCTGGGACCAGTTACCCGAGGGGGAATCTCTGGGCAGGTGGCATCTGATTGGTGGTTTGATGGGTGATCTTCTAGACAGGCCACCTTTATTCTTAAGATACCCGGCATGTGCTGATCCTTCCTCTACCCCCGGTTTCTTCACAGGAAACCCACAGGCGACTCAGAAGGGGAGGCAGATCTTACAGAGGTAAGATGCAGCTGAGATGGAGTGGAGTCAGTGGAGGCAGGGGGCAGGGTCAAGGTTCAGGGGCTCAGTGTGCTTCAGGCTCTGTCAGGGTGTTTATCTTCTACCTATGACCTGCTAAGTAAAGCTATATGAAGGTGAAATTGTGCAGGATGATTCTGCAAAGGTACCTGTGTCGTCCCCCTCTCACTCACCATGTACCCAGGTAGCTGAAGCCAGCAAGCCAGGATCTGAGAGGACAGGGACAGGTGTGTCCTCAAGGAATCAGACTGTCAGGGAGTTCAAAAGCTTGTGGGAGCTGCAAGTTCAAGGGCCCTAAGTCCCTTTACGCAGATGAGAGAGTGGAGCCTGGAGAACTGGAGAGACTGAATGACTTGCCTAGGGCCACACGCTGCCAGGCCACAGCTGTCCTAGTCCTCTGGGGTCTTGCCCTGGGCTGTGACCCCATTTCTGCTCAAGTCCACTCAGCATCTTTGTTAACTAACAGCTCTGTGCCTCTACTTCTTTCAGCTGGTAAATAGGAATAGTTAACCTGGATCACCTTGCAGAAGGTGGGGGAAGACTTTCTGTCCATAGGCCATGTTTTAGAGTCAACTCTAGAAACCTGAGGAACATTCCCATTAAAATTCCAAGAATAAAAAATGCTAACAGCCGGATTGTCTTGACTCTGATTTGAAGAACTCTAGGCCCAGTTTCAGGTTTAAAACTACCAACCTGAGGCTGTCATCTGTCCTCCTTCATGAGCTAGTTCCTTTGGGTCTAAAAGATCTCGCAACATCCTTTTTAAACATGAAAGTTTCCCTAGAGTGAGTCACACCTTAACTCTTAATGCCTTCGCTGTTGGATAACACAGAATTTTCCAAAAGTATGCTGGCCCCAAAGGACCCTCAAAAAAACCCAACAGTACTATTCACGATGAGCATATGTTACTTCTTTAATTATTTAAAAATTAAAGATTTTTTAAGTTGGCATTCTGGTTTGCAAACAGAGGGAAAGGGAAAGAATATTAATGGGAGTACTTCAACTATTTTCATTATACCAAAAATATTAAAGGAAGTAGCACATTTTCCACACAGACTAAGATGCCAATTTTCTTTGGGGCCAGAAATGCATCACTTCAGTGCAGTAATACTCATGAGGATCAAAAACTCTGGTAGGTAATTATATACATGTGTATATTTTTGATGAATTAAAATTAAAAATTAGAGTATTACTTAATAAGTGTATTTTGATAGATAAATTCAAAACAAGGGCCCATCAGAGAAAAAATAATAAAAGAGGGCTGTGGTGACAAAATACTAGGTATTTGTTGTCTTCCAGTTGAGAGCAAGAAAGTAATAAAGGATGGATGATGAAAGGAAGCAAGGGATTCTCTCAGTAAAAGCAGAGGTGGGGCGTCTGTTTTTTAGTGAGTTGTGCCTTAAAGAGGCCAGCCTGTCTTTCGTTACAGTGATCTGCAGAGATGAAAAAACACAGATGACCTACCGGCAACACGAGTCGTGGCTGCGCCCCATGCTCAGAAGCAACCGGGTAGAGTACTGTTGGTGCAACAGCGGCCAGTCACAGTGCCACTCTGTGCCCGTCAAAGGTACATGGACTTCAAGCAGAGGCTGCGAGCTTCAGGGTCCAGTCCCATGCCCCCCGCTATCTTTCATGATCCCCAGCATGCTCCAATCTTTAAGCAGAGATTCCAGGCATGCTCTTTAGACAAATGTGAAGGCACCAAGCATAAAAGGAGTGGGGCTGTGTTACCTCAGACAAATGCCTTCACTTGCTGAGCCTCTGTTTTCCTTATCTGTCAAATGGGGAGAATAATAGTACACACTTCATGGTTTGCTGTGAGGATTTAATGAGTTAAATTTTATAAACCATTAGAATAGTGCCTGGTATGTAGAGAGCACTCTTAAAATTTTAACTCATTATTCTTGGAGCTCTTTCAAAAGTAATTAGTGTTTCTTTGTTTACACTTGACAGGTTGCAACGAACCAAGGTGCTTCAATGGGGGCACATGTCGGCAGGCTCTATATTTCTCAGATTTTGTCTGTCAGTGCCCTGAAGGATTTAGTGGGAAGCTCTGTGAAATAGGTGAGTGGTAGGTGGGTAGGTGTGAAAGAGGGAGACTGATATCCCAATTGCCAAATCTACCCAGAAAGGAAAGGAAGTGTGTGGTGATAGGGACTTGGGTGGGGGCAGAGACAGGAAGGGTCATCTCAAGGGTCAGTTAGGAAACCAAAGTGCAGGGCCCAGTGGGCAGAGCCTTAGGTTCAAATCTGGAGTCTGGCTCTGCCACTCATCGGACGATCCTAGCCACCCATTTATGTCCTGCGTTCTAGTAGCTCAGTAGCCAGCCCGCCTCATTGGTTTGGGGTGATGACAGAAACAGTTGTGAGACATCTTTGAGAAAGTAAATGGAAAGGGAGATTCACATGTGAAGTGTCATGTGTCCTGCTTTCAATCAGATGCCAGTGCCACCTGCTACAAGGACCAGGGTGTCACCTATAGGGGCATGTGGAGCACAGCGAAAAGTGGGGCTGAGTGTGTCAACTGGAACAGCAGCGTACTGGCCCGGAAGCCCTACAATGGGCAGAGGTCAGATGCCATCAGGCTGGGCCTTGGGAATCACAATTACTGCAGGTGAGAGGGTTGTCTTCTCTACTGAGTAGCTTTTTCTCTGGGGAGAAGCTGCTACTGTTGGGGAAAAGACCTGTATTGGATTGGTCAGAGCTGGAAACTCAGATGGGAGTTGATACTGCAGTCTTGAAAGAGGATTTCTTCTCAGCTTTTCAACTCTTACAACCTTTGACCGATTGGATGAGGCCACCCACATTACTGAGAATTTTTACTTACAGGCAACTGATCATAGATATTAACCACATCTATAAACTTCCTTGATAACAACACCCAGATTGGTGTTTGATTAAAAAACTGGGTACGATGGCCCAGCCAAGTTAACACATAAAATTAACCATCACAGTTCACCCCTTGTCAACTTGGCACCCATATGTATGTCCTTAAACCATACTCAATTTCCAGATGCCTAACACGATACAGCCATCCTCTGTACAACCAAAAGCATGCTAACTCTTTCAAAACAAAGAGGATGCAAAGTCCTTGGGCCTGAGAGGGAGGCTTCACTTGTAACCTCCCCTGGCTGATTTTTCAGAAACCCAGATGAAGACTCGAAGCCTTGGTGCTACGTCTTCAAGGCAGGGAAGTACAGCTCGGAGTCCTGCAGCGTGCCAGCCTGCTCCAAGGGTAAGTGCAGCTTCCTCGCCTTCCCTTGGGAGGACAGGCTGACAGACTGTCCTTCCACAACTGAGGAGACAAAGTACAGGCTATTAATGAATCCTTGTGATTCCAGAGGGAAGAACGTCGAGAGACTTAGGTCCTCACCCAGGCTTGGCTTCTAACTAGCTGTTTGTTTGATCTTGAGCTAATCTCTTCACACCTCTGAGCTCAGTTTCCTCCCCACAGAGGAGAAGGTGGGGCTGCATCAGTGATTTCCAGTGCTTTTGAGAGTGAATGGAGATTCTCCGTTTTTGTTTTTGTTTTTTTTTTTTTGACTGACAGGCCTTCCTATCTCTATTTCTCTCTGTTTCCTTTTAATGTTAGAAAATTTTCCAGATTTAAAAAATACCAAGTCACAAAAAGATACATATTAAGTCTCAAAAAGGTACTGTGAATTCAGTGGTGCTTTCACAAATAATTGTTATTTATCACAATAGTATGAAAAACATATTTTAATGTTCTAAATATACATATACAAAAATAATGTACATTTAGCCTATAGGTAATGCTGATATATCTGTGAATTTGACTCTTTACAGTAACACGAAAGCATCCGCTCCATCTCTCACTTGGGACTGATCTAAATCGAGACTCACTTGTCTAGGTGATCTTAAACATCCCTTTTATTTATGCTATTTATGTGTAATAGTATAGTTTATCAGTTTCAAATGGGGAGAAAAGAGGGTAAACTGGGACAAATAGGTGAAAATAGGCATCACTCAAAGGTTTACACTCTATCTTCCTAAGCCCAGCAAGTCCTTCAGAGCACTGGTAGACAAAATCTGAGAAATTAGGGCCTGCTGACATGTCCCTTCATTGAAGTACCTTGGTTCACTGTCAAATATAAACAAGGAAGCCCCTAATTACTTTCAAAGCATCTTCAGGAATAATCACCACTGACTGAACACATCATCCTTTCCTACTGAACCTGGATATCCCCTCAGGATTTTTCTCAACACAGCAATCTAGGAAGCCACATCTCATTGATGGAAGTTGGTACACCAGAATGAAAGCCATTTGCCATCCCTAAAAGAAGAGGAAAAGGGGAGGTGGGATGGTATCACAACCTTCTTACTCGCGGGCTGTCTGCCTTTAACTCCCCAGGCCGACAGTTCCATTGCAAGCCCTGATGCAAACCCCAGCTTGCCGGCTTTAATACGTAATTGGCTTTGTTTCAGTTTGAGATTTCTTTTGTTCCAGAAAAAAATGAGGACTGCTATTTTGGAAAAGGGTTAGCATACCGTGGTACCTACAGCCTCACCACGTCTGGTGCCTCCTGCCTCCAGTGGAATTCCATGATCCTGTTAGGCAAGGTTTACACAGCGTGGAAGACCAATGCCAAGACACTGGGCCTGGGCAAACACAATTACTGCCGGTATGTAGCACAGGGTCCGAGGAGCTCAGGTCTGGGCAAGTGGTGAGATCGGGGCATGGGATGGAAAAACAGCTGATACCTAAGATTATGTGAAAGACCCAGTGGGTGGGAAGATGATAACGTTATGTTGCTGAAGTTAAAGTTTTCTTATAGTGGGGTCTTTGACAGAGCCAGGTCCGGCACTCAAGATCCTCCCTCCCGGCTCAATGTTTTTTGCCACTAGTTCCTGAGCCTCCTTTCCCTCTTACATGGCTTGAGATGTGATTGATAATGTGATTGAAAACCTTAAACTCCTTTTATCCTCTAGGAATCCAGATGGAGATGCCAAGCCTTGGTGCCATGTGCTGAAGGACCTCAAGTTGACGTGGGAATATTGTGACATTCCCCAATGCTGTAAGAGTCAGCCTTTGGCTACTTCCCTTTGCCTAGACTCACTGCCCTGTTCCTCTGGACCATTTTCTCTGCCATTTCCTGTGTCTTCACAGCTGTCTGGTTCAGACTGTGTAGCTACCCAATTTTCAGGAAGGTCAGGCCTTGGTGGGGAAGCAGTGATGGGGCGGCAATGCTCTTGGGCATGTATACACGTCCCACACATGGGAAATTGTCTAAGAATAGATTATTATTGCTCAGTTCCTGTGAACATAGAGATTAGTCAGAATATTCTTCAAGGAATATAGAGTCTAATTGGGCAGATAAGACACGAACTACCAGTTAACTCATAACCAAGACTCTGTATGATGAATCCTCAGTGGGCAGTATCAGTAAGCTCGCTCAGGACCTAGTGGATTGGCTGGGAGTGTTAAGAAAGCTTTGTGAGGAGGTAGGATTTCACCTGAACCTTGAAGTATGGGTTAAGTTTGAGTAGATGGAAAAGAAATGGTGTAGATATTCCCCTAGAAGGAAGTAGCAATGCTTTGTTATGTCTTAAACCAGGAAGTGGCTGCAGAAAAAACTAGAGGTAATGAAGCATCTCATAAAGATCCCCAAGTTGGATTTAGACAGATTTTGGTTCTAATCCAGGTGCTATTGTGAGCTTGGGCAAAAATTTCTCAGCCTCTCTGAAGTTCAGTGTCGTGAGAGTTAAAGAGAGTGTATATACAGTGGTTGGCATGTACTATGTACTCAACAAATGAAAGCTATGGTTTTTATCACCATGGAGACTGCTATATCACTGTACCAACCTGTAGAGGTGCAGTAAGCCTGTGGAAATTTGGGGTTCCAAGAGAAGAAACCAAGGTGGGTGCTCAAGGACCTCATCTCAGGACTGCAGGTCTGATCTCTATTCTCTGTCCTTTCTTCTCCCAGCTACCTGTGGCCTGAGACAGTACAAGCGGCCTCAATTTCGCATTAAAGGAGGACTCTTTTCGGACATCACCTCTCATCCGTGGCAGGCTGCCATCTTTGTCCAGAACAGGAGGTCATCAGGAGAGAGGTTTTTGTGTGGGGGAACGCTGATCAGCTCCTGCTGGGTGCTGTCTGCTGCCCACTGCTTCCTGGAGAGGTAGGGACTTAGAAAACCCAGTAGGGTCCCTGCTTTCTAACGCCTCAAAACCAGGCCCATTAGAGGAAACCTCACAGCAAGCAGAGTGTCCTAAAGTTGTTTCTCCATTAGGTTTCCTCCCCACCACATTAAGGTGGTCTTGGGCAGAACGTACCAGGCGGTCCCTGGAGAGGAAGAGCAGATATTTGAAGTAGAAAAATACATCGTCCATAAGGAATTTGATGATGATACTTACAACAATGACATTGGTAAGATGTCATCTTCCAGCTCCAGTTCAAACTCCAGACCATACAACACACACCCATGTGCATGCACTCGCACCTCCTCCTTCCAAACCCTCACCCTCTCCTTTACCTTCCTCCCCTAAAATCAGAAGCTCTTCACACAGGGCTTTTTCTCTTCTTTGTTCTCCCTCCCAGCACTACTGCAACTGAAATCAGATTCACTACAATGTGCCCAGGAGAGTGACGCTGTCCGCACCGTCTGTCTCCCTGAAGCCGACCTGCAGCTGCCCGACTGGACAGAATGTGAGCTGTCTGGCTATGGCAAGCACGAGGCCTGTAAGTGGACGGAAGTCATGGCTCCATCCTGTCTGTCTGTAGGACAGGAGGGGATGCAGTTGTTGACCAGACAGAGGAAAAAGTGGTCACAAGAGCAGTTCTAGCCTCGGGTCAAGCGCTGTCACTTTGTGAAAGTCAGCAAGTTCCCTTTAGAGGGATAACCCATCCTTGGCCTTCCCAACCTCACAGAGTCACTAAGTCAAGAAAGGTCTAAATAGTACAAATTCTTTGAAGAGCTTAAGATCTCAGGAAGATTCTGATAAGAGTACAATACAGTAATTAAAGGTGCGGGTACTTGGGCTCTATAGTCTGTAGACCTGAGTTCAAATCTTAGCTCTGCCCCTTACTAGCAGTGTAGTCAGAGATTCTTATTTCATACTGCTCCAAGCCTCAGCATCCCCAGTGGTAAGATGGAGACAAAACTAGTTGCCTCCTTAGGTCATAAGGATTAAATGAGATATTAAACCAGTGGTTCTCAAATAAGGTGATTTTGTTTCCTAGGAGACATTCGGTAACGTCTGGTGATAGTTTTTATTGTTACAAATCAGGATGAAGGTTTACACTGGCATTTAGTGAGTAGAAGCCAAGGATGCTGCCCAACATCTATATGCACGGGACAGTCCCTACCCCCACGCCAAAAATTATTTGACTCAAACTGTTATTTTTGGGGGTACTTGTGGGTAAGATGAAATTGCCAGTAAAAGCTTGGTAAATTCATCGGATTCAATCTAGTATGTGTAAAAGGTTGATAAACATTAGCTATTATTAGAAAATTTGGCTTTCTCCTTCCGGAAGGTTTACTAATAACTTTCCCTAAAACCATAAGACGTTTTCTCTCCTCTCTCTCAGCTTCTCCCTTCTACTCTCATCGGCTGAAGGAGGCTCATGTCAGACTGTACCCATCCAGCCGCTGCACGTCCCAGCATTTGTTTAATAAAACCATCACGAACAATATGCTATGTGCTGGAGATACCCGAAGTGGAGGGAACCAAGCAAACCTGCATGATGCCTGCCAGGTAAACATGAACGTCCCTCCACTCTGAGTCTACCCAAGAGTAAAAAGTTTCCTTGACCAAAAGGAAAAAAGTTATAGCCAGAATGGAGTGATTTCATTTTGGTGAGGCACTGGGGATTCTAGATGAGGGCCTCTGAGAGTAAAGCAACCAGAGAAAGACCAAAGTTACCCAAATTTAAGAAATCTAAACTGCAGGAAATTTCCCCAATGTCTGCACAGGAAACTCCACCTGGTACAGGATTTCCTGTAAGCCCAAGCAATTAATTGACTATTGAAGTGATGGATAAAGCAACACAAATTAAGAACTTGTTGACTTCTGTAGGTGCTGAAAGATTGAAGTCTACTTTGTAGCAAGGGGAAGGATGAATGGCAACTGACCGGGAAGTAGCATAGAGATGATTTGTGAGATATAAGGTTTAAAAACTCATATTCATGCCTGATACTCTGGGAAAGAAAGCAAACTATTTCAGGCTCACTGTGATGGCTTCCTTGTAGAGTTAGTATTTCTAGTTCATGATAACGAGACACTGGTGTTTGGGACACAGACCAACCTGTGATATTAGGACCTAAATATAAATATAGCTAAGGATTTGTTATTGATGAGACATTTTTGTGCCTGCAGTGTGCCAGGCTTGTCCACTGAGGGGCTTGGGTTAGAGGGGTACGAAAAGAAGTAAGGCCAGGTTCTTGCATTGAAAACTTTGTAGACTTTGTTCTTATAAGGTAATCATATCAGTATTTCTTCCCTTGGTTCCTTGACAGCCTTTGGTCTCTTATTGAATAGTTTCTTCGGAAACCTCAACTGTACCACTTAGCTCAACAGTCATAAAAAGGTTGTATGCAAATGAAACCATAATTATTTGCAAGCTTTGAGTTAAAAGCAAAACCAAAAAATCATTTCGATTCAATAAGATAGTAACAGCTAACAATTGTCATAAGTTTTGCTAAATATCATAAATTGTTCTTAAAGCTTTTCAAGCTTTCTCTATATTAATTCTCATTACAACCTTATCGGGTAGGTAGTATTAGCTCTACTTTACAGATAAGGCTATTGAAACACAGTTAGCCCAAGGCCACATAGCTACTAAGCCATGGAGTTAAAATGGGAGTATGTGTATGTGTGCGGGGG